TTTCTTCCAAGATATTCAGAGCATAAGACTGCAAAGCTGCGCTCTTGGTGTATCGGCATTGTTACTGATTTGCTTATTAGTTATTGTGGATGTGTGTGTTTTGGTTTTCTGTGGCTTGAACACAGGGACTGTGCTCATGGTGAGGCCAAGTGCTCCACGATTGAGCTACACCCTCAGCCCTCTTTTCCTTTGTTATTTTCAAACACTGTCTCAAGAAGTTGCTGAATTAAAGCTGGCCTCGAACTCACACTGTAGGTGATGAAGGTCTTGGCATCTCCATCCTCTGGCCTCCCTCTCCTGGGTGGCTGGAATTGGCATGAGCACCAGGCCTGGCTGGTGGAATCAAAGTGGAATCATTTTTTTCCTTTATTTTTATTTGTTTGTTTCATTTTGTGTGTCTGGGAGGGGGGTGTTTTGTCTGCATGTATGTCTGAGCACCGCTTGTATGCAGTGCCCACAGAGAGAGGCCAGAAGAAAGGTTCCCTGGGCCTGGAGTTACAGATGATTGTGGCTGTCATGTGGTTGCTGGGAATGGAACCCAGGTCCTCTGGAAGAGCAACCAGTGCTCTTCACTGCTGAGCCATCTCTGCAGCCAAATGAAGGGGAGATTAACTACATAACAAACTGACAAACAAACTTCATTTTAAAGCTCATGTTAACCAGGACCAGTGGTGCTTCCAAATTCATGTTTATGGTCTGTGCCACCAAAGTCAACCTGGGCTACCCATCCTAAAGAAGCCAACGAAAATAGCTAAGTTAACAATAAAAAGCAATTTTTTTTCCATTACGGCCTCATTGGGAAGAGAGTACAAAGTGATCCAGTGATCACTGTTCCACTCAAGTCTCTCTTCCACTCAAATCTCTCTTCAGATCCCTGAAGAGAGATTAAAGTTTAAATAGAGAGCCAGGGATAAGCTCACCTAAGCTCTCCTAAAACCTGAGTCTCAAAAAACAAAAGACAAAAACTGAGTCCTCAGGAGGTCATAGTTCATAGAAGAGAACCTAGTACTGTTGTTTTGTTTAAATGTGTGTGCTAAAAGGGGCTGGAGAAGTGGCCCAGGGCTTAAGAACAGTGCTTGCTCTTGCAGAGGACCCAGGTCCAATTCTCAGCACCCACATGGTGGCTACCATCTGTAATTCCAGTTCACGAGCATCTGGTGTTCTTTTCTGACCGCCCAGGGCACTGGATGCATGTTCCATGCATGCAGCCAAAGCATTTATACACATAAAATAAAATTTAAAAAATCTTTTTAATAAACGGTTGTATTGTGGCACTGCCCTCTAAATATTTATGTTAATACTCATAGATGAGTACTGCTCTTAACCCTCACCAGAAATGTCTCATTCCTGTGTGGGCAACAAGGTAGAAACACATAATCCTCAAAGTGCTGATAACAAGGGACTGTTTGGTACTCATCCCTAAACAAGGCATTTCTATTAACTCATCCCCCCAAAGGCTCAGGGAATGTCACAGAAGAAGAAGTGGAAAGAAATCAAGATCTGGAGAATGAGGAGAGCTATTGTATCTGTCTTCTGGACAGGACAGGGCTTTTGTAGCCATGGTTACCTGAACAAGATTAAGCTAATGCTGTCATAAATCAGCATTCCAACAGGTCGCACTGACTGGACTCAGTGGTTTATCAAAACAAACCAAATCAAAATATACAAACAAAGAACCAGCAAGCTGGGTGGTGGTGGTGCACGTCTTTGATCCCAGCACTTGGGAGGCAGTCTTGGAGGTTTCTGAGTTCAGCGTTTGGTGCCAGCCTGATCTACAGAGGGAGTTCCAGGACAGCCAAGGCTACATGGAGAAACCTTGTCTCAGAAATAGCAAAGAAAAAAGAAAAAAAAAAAAGGAAGAGAGCATGAAGTTAGGAAAGGAACCTGTGAATGGGTGTCTATGAGAGTGGGGAGGAGAGGGGTAGATATACACACATTGTAAATATATGTATGAAATCATCAAAGGATAAATAAAAGATATTCTTTTAAATATCTTTAGATTTATTTGTTGTTATTACAGGTGAGTGTTTTGACTGAATGTATGTCTTCGCACCATGTACATGCCCAGTGCCCACAAGAGCCAGAACACAGTGACATCACCTGGTACCGGATTTACAGATGGTTGTGAGCTGCATGTGAGAGCCGGGAAACAGACCTGCAACTACTCTTTTTGTTTGTTTGTTTGTTTGTTTGTTTGTTTGTGTTGAAACAGGGTTTCTCTGTGCAGCCCTGGCTGTCCTGGAACTCACTCTGTAACCAGGCTGACTTCAAACTCAGAGATCCACCTGCCTCTGTTTCCCAAGGGCTGGGACTAAAGGCGTGCGCCACCACTGGCTGGCCAGTCTGCAGCTACTCTTAACCAATGAGCTCACTCTCCGTCCTCCAATAAATAATAATCTATAAATAAATAAAATAAAGATGAGACTCCAAACAAGTTCCCATGGGCAACATCTGAAGGAAGTCGAGTTAATCACTCCCTTAAGGAGGATGAAAATTTTAGATGTTTTCTGGGTCCCTGAGGTCTGAGGCTTTGGGGAAGCTGAGAGGGCAAGGTCCCTCTATCTTCACACTGGCTCCTGCAATAATAGTGCCTCTGGAGAGCAGGGCAGCTCCATGTCTCTGAAGGACCTAAAAATCTTTCTTTTGTCTCTCTCCTTGCCTTCCTGTGGGCTTCCAAGTCCCTTCCCTTCCCTGTGTCTCTGTCATTATTTTTCTTCTCTTCTGTCTTCCTGTGGTTCATGTCTTCCCTTTCCCCCGGCTCTCTGACCACTCCTTGTCTTGTGTGTTTTTTTCCCAGCTGCCTCTCTTCCCCATCTCCATCTCCGTGAACCCCACCCCACTCCCCACCCCACTGTGTTCTCGCCTTACAGTGGCGGTTCTCAACCTTCCTGACGCTGAGATCCTCATGTTCTGGTGATCCCGACCATACAATTATTTCCGTTGCTACTTCACATCTGTAATGTTGCTGCTGTTACAAATTGTAATGTAAATATCTGAGGTGCAGGATGTCTGATATTCGACCCCTGTGAAAGGGTCATTTGACCCTCAGAAGGGTCACAGCCCACAGGTTGAGAACCACTCTGCCTTACAGGGTGTGGTGATATATGGTGTACCCTAATAAAATTTGCCTGAAGATCAGAGGACAGAACAAGCCACTAGATAAAACATAGAGGCCAGGCAGTGGTGGTACACACCTTTAATCCTAGCACTTGAGAGGCAGAGATCCAATTGGATCTCTGCAAGTTCAAAGCCACCCTGGACTACATGAGATTGACTCAGTCTAGGAGAGAAGACAGAGTCAGGCAGTGGTGGCATACACCTTTAATTCCAGTACTGGGAAGCACACACCCTTTAATCCCAGGAAGTGAAGGCTGGGCAGAGAAAGGTACATAAGGCGTGAGGAGACAGGAACTAAAGGCTTTTCAGCTAGAGGCTTTTTCAGCTGGAGCCTTTGGGGTGAGGACTCAGAGGATTTCAGTCAGAGGATTCGTGGAGCTGGTGAGGTAAGAGGTGATGGCTGTGGCTTGCTCTGCTTCTCTGATCTTTCAGACAAAGTTTCATTAGTGTGTTTTATAGTTTATTTATATATTTATTACACAATCTATCACCACAGCAGGGTCTGACTGTGTGTATCTGTTTCTATTCCTCTCTGAGGATTCCTTGTCTCTGTCATTTGGGCTGGTTTGACTAAGGAACCTTTCTCATTAGTCCATTCCTGCCATGTGCTTCTTCTATGGTAAAACTTGAGAATAAGTACCTTGGACCTTCAGGATAAAGGGGACTGAAAAATTCCAGGTAATTTTTTTTTTTTTTAATTTCAGAGCAGTCTCACAGCGCAGCTCGGGTTAAGCCTCAAGTTCATGACATGCCTGCCTCAACCTCTCATGCATTGAAACTGCTGGTATGCATCCCCACACCCAACCTTCCTGCTTTGTGGTCCCCAGTCAATCCATTTGCTATGAAGGTGGAGGTCACAGAGAAACAGGGAATCATGAGAGTGTGGGTGTGTGCAGTCAACCCCAGCTGGTATCATGAATCTCCACCAGTGTTCCTGCAAGGAAGCGAAGGACTCAAAAATGGAATGGTTGCTGCACTTACCAAAAATACATTTTACCATTCAAACTTATAAATAAGCAATGTATCAGTTGTAGGAAATGAAGCAAAAATTGTCTATGACCTGGTCACTTCCAAACAATAATAACTCAGTCCATATATAAGAAATACCTTGCAAAGAATAAGGTCTCTCCCCCAAGTGGATCATCACATCCATCCGGCTGGATTAGCAAATTTTTCATTCAGTACCTAACAAGCATCTTGGGGGGAGCAGGAGACAAAAATCATCCAATTGAAGT